CCCACCCCAGCCACCAGCCCTGCCGCACGCACATGCCCCCTCCACCCCCCCGCCACTCCCCTGCACCTCATCTCCACAAAGTGGCACTGCCCCACGCCGCGAGACAGCGCCTCGATGCCCACCGCCCCCGTGCCGGCATACAGGTCCAGCCAGCGCGTGGTGGGCGGCAGGCTGGTGGGGGAGCCGTACAGCGACATGACCATGCTGAACACGGCATTCCGCACCATCTCCATCATGGGGCGCGTCTGTGGGTGGGGGTGGGTGGGGCAGCATGTGCGGTGTGGGGAGCGGGCTGCAGCGGGTTGAGCCGCTTGAAGGGGTTGGGTGAAGCACAACGGGTGAGGCCAGGGGGAGGAAGGCAGGCAGGGCAGGGGAGGGGGCTGGGGCAGGGCAGCAGCCTGCGCACCTGGTCCCCCTGCGGAGAGCGCAGGCGCCTGCCCGCCGCCGCCCCCGCGATCACGCGCAGGCGCTGGTGCGTTTTGAGCCGCGCTGCCGCCTTCTTGCGTGCCGCGGGCGTCAGCCGCGCGCTCTCTGCGCGCATGACGGCCAGTCCGCAATACCAGATTCAGCCGGGCCCAGCAGCAGCAGAAGCAGCAGCCGCCAAGCAGCACCTCATGCCACACAGCTGCGATGCGCCCCCGTGCCCCCACCCACCTTCATCTGCCTCCCTCTGCTCAGCCTCCAGGCGGCGCAGCTGGTGGCGCGGCAGGCTGGCCAGCAGCTGCTCCTCAGCGCTGCGCAGCACCCGGCCGTTGAAGGTGGCGGGCTGCGCGGGCACGGCGGCGCCGCTCGGCCCGCCGCTCGTCCCTGCCTGCCTGCCCAATCCTGGGGAGCCCTCCTCCGCCTCATCATCATCATCATCATCACCATCATCGACCCACTCATCCTCCCCGACCGCAACCACGCTCCAGCCGCCCTCATCAGCGCCGCCGTCGGCCGTGTTGCCGCTGTCGGCCGCCTCCACCGACCACCCGTCGCTGTCGCCTCCCAGCAGGTGGGCCACATCCTCCAGCGCCTCCACATTCCAGCCAGAGTCGATGTTGAAAATCTCCACATCGTCCCCACCCCGCCGCCGCCGCTGCTGCTGGCGGCGCCCGCCGCCGCCGCCGCCGCTGCCCCCGTCGCCACGCCCGTGACGCGCCGCTGCTGCAAGGCGAGCAGGAGTCAGTTGGTGGTGTCATTTGCAGCCAGTGTAGTGTGCGGTGGCGGGCGATAAGCGGCCGCCACACCTCCGTCACCGCCCTGCGCACCTTGGCGCCTCGGCGCCGTGTGACGCACGCCGGAAGATCTGTAACGTTGTGTAAACGAACTGCAGCCGGCTGCCGGTGCTGCAACAAACGGGCTCATTGTGGTGCACCCGCCTGGCCCCATACCGAGACGCTGCGGGCAGCTCAGAGGCGCTCAGTGGGTGCAGGAACTCAAAGGGCCATGCAGATCGGCGCATGCATGGGCCAAGCCGCCAAGCCCCAGCGAGGTGGCAGCGGCGGGAGCGGGTGCAAGCGTGGTGGATGCCAGACAGAAGCCTGAGTCGACCTTGAAGTTACATCTTCGTGTGCTAGCATGCACAGCAGCATTCAAAAGGCGGTGCAATGCTTCCCAAGGGTGTGGGGCGCGCAGGACGAGCAGGCATTGGCAGTGCTGGTTATCTGAGCTTTGCGGCAACTGTGTGGCGTGAGGCGGGGCGAGGGCAAGTCAATATCGGTACTCGGTACTAGCCATTAAAAATGAGGGGCTCGCACCGCTGCGGCAGCGGCAGACAGGCTGGGGGGAGCCAAGTACAGCATGGAGGAAAGACGGCGAGACTGCGTCGCACTAGCAATGAAATGGCGGCACCAGGCACGCATGGGCAGCAACGGGGAGGGGGGGAGCGCTCAATGGATCAGGCCCCAGGGAGGGAAGGGAGGCTGGAAAGGGACATCAGGCA